AGAAGCTAAAGTTCTCAGATTTGAGTTCTCCTTGAGGAAATGAATGAGTATCTTGACCTTGAGGTTTTTAGATATCATAATTTTGCTAATTTTCTCTTAAATCTCTTTAGTCTCTCCATTTATGCCTTTTATATGAACTCCTAAGAACTCCACCACAATTTCCTTCACAAATCCAATCTATAATGTGAAATCTTATACATTTGGGTTTCAATTTATTTTTTATTGTACAAAGCATTAACTATATTTGACATGTTTCATCGATACTGCATATAAAGCGGCATACACAGCCTTTTTACACCAATTCTTCCATCACTCCATTAGGTTGGTCGCAACAAATTTCAAAAAAATAAAAATGAAAAACCAAAATTCAAATTTTTTGAACGTTTCAAAATTAAAATATCAAGGAAATCTAATGCTTAAATTTAAAATTTTTGAAAAAAACAAGAAAATCAATGTTCAATTTGAATTTAAATAGAGTTTGAAAATGGTTTGCAACTATCATATCATTTCATTGCCACTTTAAGCGGTCATCATTCTATTCATATCCTCCATAATATCCTTCAAAATATTTCCATCAAAATCTTTAAATTTATCATCTCTTACAATATCAAATTAGAATTTAAATTCTTAAACAATAAATTCAATTTGAAATAAGAAAATCAACATTAATACCAAATTTTAAACCATCAACCATATCTCTTCTATTTTTTCCCCAACCACCATGTCCCAAACAGAGTATCACGCACATTGATCCAACTTAAGTCATAATGGCCAAACTATGCCTCAAATGACTAAAATATTTATTTCAAGCACTAATACAAAAATATGAAGATCAATTCCGATGGTATGAAAAACTCAAAATTTTTCTGAAATATAATTCCAAAGATGATGAAGTTTTGAGAATATATGTTGAGATCTTTCTACCAATAATAGCTGAAGAAGTAGATATCTTCCCCTTCATCTCTTCATCCTTACGATGGAATTTTCATTCATCATCTCTTCCTCAGGTAGGCTTTCACTAGCTATATGGTACAATCAAGGACTACAATTCTTCGTCAAGTAGAATGTTTGCTACAAAGAATGGTGTTTTAAACAGTCAAGAGAACTGATGTAATGAAAGTCACGCTTTAGTCGCGAGCCATTATATTACTTAATATCATTGTTCTTAAGTGTGACATATTGATATTAGATTATTCATGATTATGGCGACTATTATACAAATAATTAGGATAGTCCATCATACATTAAAGATGTGTCCTTTTTTTTACATCCTCTATCAATTCCTATTCTCTAATACATGATGTTCTTACTTTCTCAATTTCCATATATTTAGTTCCTGGTACTTAAATGCCAGAGTGCCACCTTTTCAATAATTAAAATATCAAAAATCCATCATGATCTTCACTTTAGCAATGCAACTGGCAAAACAATTGAACAAAAATAAGAAAATACATTCCTTAAACACATTTCTTCCGCATAATCCACAAAAAAAAGAGAATCATAATTAATAATACCTAGTTTAACCATTTAACTGAAGACCATGAGAATGAACAGTAATGATTATAAATTGTAATATACGCAAGAAAATTAAAAAGAGTCCCTATACAAAAAATTAAGCAATAATGGATAGCCTTTCATATATCCCTTCACCCAAATAACAAAGCATAATTTAAAAATAATCAAGCATATGCAAAATCCGTATGAACACAAAGATATATAAACTATTCAAAGATATGATAAAGAAAACCAATCAATTCATCCAGCAATCTATCATAGATCAAGGAAATTATATTCCAAAGGGAGGATAACAATGAGGATCCATATAAAACATTAATGTAATCCGTAACATATAAAACATAAGAAACCTTAGACCATCTCAATAGAACTAGTTGTGACCGGAGGTTTAAAAAATGAACTTGAACTCGAAGAAACTACTAAATACGACAAACGTTATGGTAAAATGCATACGAAAAAATTTATATTGCAATCTAAAAGAAAATTACAAATAGCAACATAAAGTAGAAAAACTATCCTTCTAGGGTACAAGAATGTTTTATTTGTGAGAGAGAGAAAAAGAGAAAACTTACATTAACTTATAAAACATAATGACCATACATCTAACTTAAGCTTAAATAATATAAAATGGAACATCACTATTTGCACTTGGCATTTATCATCATCATAAATGGCAGCACAAACAGGCTCATCGTAACAATATGCAGTTAACTTAGGAATTTTTTTCTATATAATAAAAAAGCCCGTGCTCATCACATGATGGTTTATTCAATACAGGTTATAGAAAAGAATAGATGTACATAATAATCTATTTGACTTGTAAAGAAACCATTTCCTGAGACGAAGACATGACATTGAGGTGACAGTGAAGTCAACCCAACCCTTACTATGAGACAACTTTCTTAATCTTCTTCTCAAGCTGGTCTACAAAATTTCTCTTAATGTTTATTAGATCTGACAAGCTCCTGAACAATTAAAATTAAATGTAATAGACAAGCAACTTATTTGTGACATCATATGCCATATGTGCTGTTTATTTTAAAAAGTAATTCAGTCAATGAAAATGAATATATATCCTAGTAACATAACACAAGGGAAAAAAAAATTGAACTTTTGATATCATTTCTCATGTAATTTAACAAATTCTAGAAATATAAGAAACAAAATTATCAATCCAAAAAGTCATGTATTCTGAAAGCCATCTTCTTTTTTTTTAAAAAAAAAGCATATAATTTAAAAACATAGTACCTGGCGAGATAATTGCTGATGATAGAGAGCACCAGCGGACTCTTTTGTAACAGGTGATACAATACCAACACTGAGTAGCCAATCTTGCATCTCTTGCTTAGAACCCATCTCCTCTTCATTTGCATTAGCCTGAGCAGCTGAACCAGATAGCAACTTCTGCCTCATTTTCTCAGCTAATGCAACCATCTCTTTAGCTTTACTCTATATAGATATTGATCAACTTTAGCACTTCAAAAAAGATCCTAAAGACAGCTTATAAGAAACATCACTTTCTTGAAAAAAATCAGCACGTACCAGATAAAAGAAAGCACTTCATCATTCATGAAATTTGTTGAAAAGTTGATATTTTTAGTTGTTAAAGTATCTAATATGCAAATCACATAAGATAACCAAAAGACGTCCATATAACATAGAGTGAATACAGGCCAGGATAAACCTAGGTTTCAAACCATATTCCCAAGAAACTAGTGACCAGATATTATGATTTTCATCCAGCATCTCCAAGAAAAAAAAACATTTTTTCCAAAATTCAAAATAATTACAATGAATGAATATTGAAAATTTATGCTGGAAATACGAAGTGTGAGCAAGAATATGCCATCAAACTCTAGCGTAAAACAAATGGAAAATCTGTAAAGCGTGAACAAATTCAATTTCAATCTAAACAGATGAAAAAATATTCTTCATTACAAATAGAGAGAATGTTTGTAATGTGGTGCTTCTTTGAAATTAAATAAACTGCAATTCATATATTCTCAATACTCCTTGAGAAGACTATGTCAATATAGAGCTATCTTATCTAATGTTTTACATAAATCATTTTTCTTGGGACCAAACTTTTTAATAATGAAAATCCTTATGCAACATGTAAGGACTTCCTCTTTTCAACTACTCCTACAATAGCCTATTGTTATAGACGCAAGCTATTTCATGTATGGCGATTTGGTCGTTATGCACACCAATATATTCCAGTTCTGATTCTAGTAGACCAGCAATTATACATGGAATATGCAATGTGAGAAACCTAACTTCTAGTACCTTTTACGGGGAAGATAGAAGGAAAATATTTAGAAATTTAAATTCTTGTAGGACTGAAATCACCAGTAGTAAGATGAGCGAACACTAGCTACCTATCAAATCTTCAAAAAATAATACATGAAACTGTTTCTCCTAGTTTGAGAATATATCTCAAAAAACAAAACCATGTAACGAGTGAACCAGAGCTACCCAGACTCCCAATACTAGACTAGATTTGTTCTTCTCTCTCTTAAAAGTCAAAGCATGTTGGTTCTCAGAAAGGCTTTCATTTCATGCTAAAACACGAATGTGGATTAGAATACATACTGGGCACCCCATTAAATTAAGAAAGGCAATTGTAAGGATGGGCCTATTTTCCCAACATGAAACTTGGTTTAGCTTCTCTATAAAATAGATTAACAACAGAGTTTAGAGTTCTAGTGCGGCAAATGAAAGCTACTTCAATTAAAACTTGATTACTTCATTGCTCCGTTATATGCTTAGCACCATGTATTATATAATAAAATTAATAACTAGTAGCAGAACTAGAATTTGAAGTTGGGAGAGGTTGCAAAATTTCTATAATGGGTGCGGGAGAGGGGAGGGAGAAGGAGAAAGGCCCGTGGCGAAAAAAGGGCAAGTCACGGGCGAAGGGGCATATCCCGTAAAGTTTTATCGCGAAACGCGGACCGCGGGGGTCAGCCCGCGGTCCGCGTGTTTAAGGAATTTAAAAACGCGTTTTTAAATAATTTTTCAATAAGTGCTAACCAAACGGTAGGGCGGCGTTTTGAAAACGCCACCCGCACTTATAAGCTGCCCTTTCTTAATCTTCTTCTCAAGCTGGTCTACAAAATTTCTCTTAATGTTTATTAGATCTGACTTCTTCTCAAGCTAGTCTACAAAATTTCTCTTAATGTTTATTAGATCTGACATGCTCCTGAACAATTAAAATTAAATGTAATAGACAAGCAACTTATTTGTGACATCATATGCCATATGTGCTGTTTATTTTAAAAAGTAATTCAGTCAATGAAAATGAATATATATCCTAGTAACATAACACAAGGGAAAAAAAAATTGAACTTTTGATATCATTTCTCATGTAATTTAACAAATTCTAGAAATATAAGAAACAAAATTATCAATCCAAAAAGTCATGTATTCTGAAAGCCATCTTCTTTTTTTTAAAAAAAAAAGCATATAATTTAAAAACATAGTACCTGGCGAGATAATTGCTGATGATAGAGAGCACCAGCGGACTCTTTTGTAACAGGTGATACAATACCAACACTGAGTAGCCAATCTTGCATCTCTTGCTTAGAACCCATCTCCTCTTCATTTGCATTAGCCTGAGCAGCTGAACCAGATAGCAACTTCTGCCTCATTTTCTCAGCTAATGCAACCATCTCTTTAGCTTTACTCTATATAGATATTGATCCACTTTAGCACTTCAAAAAAGATCCTAAAGACAGCTTATAAGAAACATCACTTTCTTGAAAAAAATCAGCACGTACCAGATAAAAGAAAGCACTTCATCATTCATGAAATTTGTTGAAAAGTTGATATTTTTAGTTGTTAAAGTATCTAATATGCAAATCACATAAGATAACCAAAAGACGTCCATATAACATAGAGTGAATACAGGCCAGGATAAACCTAGGTTTCAAACCATATTCCCAAGAAACTAGTGACCAGATATTATGATTTTCATCCAGCATCTCCAAGAAAAAAAAACATTTTTTCCAAAATTCAAAATAATTACAATGAATGAATATTGAAAATTTATGCTGGAAATACGAAGTGTAAGCAAGAATATGCCATCAAACTCTAGCGTAAAACAAATGGAAAATCTGTAAAGCGTGAACAAATTCAATTTCAATCTAAACAGATGAAAAAATATTCTTCATTACAAATAGAGAGAATGTTTGTAATGTGGTGCTTCTTTGAAATTAAATAAACTGCAATTCATATATTCTCAATACTCCTTGAGAAGACTATGTCAATATAGAGCTATCTTATCTAATGTTTTACATAAATCATTTTTCTTGAGACCAAACTTTTTAATAATGAAAATCCTTATGCAACATGTAAGGACTTCCTCTTTTCAACTACTCCTACAATAGCCTATTGTTATAGACGCAAGCTATTTCATGTATGGCGATTTGGTCGTTATGCACACCAATATATTCCAGTTCTGATTCTAGTAGACCAGCAATTATACATGGAATATGCAATGCGAGAAACCTAACTTCTAGTACCTTTTACGGGGAAGATAGAAGGAAAATATTTAGAAATTTAAATTCTTGTAGGACTGAAATCACCAGTAGTAAGATGAGCGAACACTAGCTACCTATCAAATCTTCAAAAAATAATACATGAAACTGTTTCTCCTAGTTTGAGAATATATCTCAAAAAACAAAACCATGTAACGAGTGAACCAGAGCTACCCAGACTCCCAATACTAGACTAGATTTGTTCTTCTCTCTCTTAAAAGTCAAAGCATGTTGGTTCTCAGAAAGGCTTTCATTTCATGCTAAAACACGAATGTGGATTAGAATACATACTGGGCACCCCATTAAATTAAGAAAGGCAATTGTAAGGATGGGCCTATTTTCCCAACATGAAACTTGGTTTAGCTTCTCTATAAAATAGATTAACAACAGAGTTTAGAGTTCTAGTGCAGCAAATGAAAGCTACGTCAATTAAAACTTGATTACTTCATTGCTCCGTTATATGCTTAGCACCATGTATTATATAATAAAATTAATAACTAGTAGCAGAACTAGAATTTGAAGTTGGGAGAGGTTGCAAAATTTCTATAATATATATAATTGCACTGAAACATACATGATTGCAAAAGGATTTAATAATAAAATTTTCATATTACATATAACCACATAGGGTTTTAGCAAATCCCATGGTTCCACAAACAATTGTAGAAACAACATCACAGTAATAACAATCAATAATTGAAATGAAAACATTAAATACAATGTCACAGTAATAATAATCAATAATTTTATGACCGAAAGCAGCCATGATGGGCCAGCAAAAGTTCAAGCAAGTATAGCGGGCATTTTATCGGCCAATTCATCAAGAGATCCAATCCAACAAACAGGTGAGTACAAGCTGATGGATCTATATAGCCGAGTACAAATTGCCAAGTATGAGCTGTTGGGAAAGGATATCCTAACACAAGTAGCTCAATTATAGGCGGTCACGTAGCAATTCCCGACCCTAGAGTCACCTAGAGACTTCAAATGTCTCGTGAGATCATAATCTATTCACCCAAAGGGATGAGTGGCCTCAAAGAGAATTCTCAAGACAAGAGGTCGATCAGATGTTGGATGTTACGTGCGAGGACATCGAAGATAATATAGTTTATGCTCTCAAGATTAAAAAAAAAAGACAAATTTGAGCAACCCGAGATCCTAGATATTTGAGTGTAATCATAGCCTACGTATAATTTATAAAAAAATACCCCTATTTTTATAGAAGAAGAATTAATGTACAAAGAACGATCGATTGAACCATTATTCTAAGAAATAACACATTGCATTCGACTAATCTCTTCTCTCAAGCTCATCATTTTTCTTGAGGTGTGAAGGCACAAACAAAACAGGATTAAACAATAATCAATAATAAATGAATACAAATAATGTGGTGAACAAAATTGCGGGTAGCGCTAAATTTAAGCCATTTTAAAATAACAAACTGTGAACAAATCATCAGCTTTATGTTCAACTTTAGCATGCTTATATCAAGCTTAGGCGTTGTTTGGTAGCATAATGTAAATAGGATTTAGCATGGATTTAGAGTAAATCCAACCAAACATAAAAAAAATTAAATCCAACGCTCCTTTAAATCAATTTTTTCACATTCTATCTTTTCTCCCTACGTTTTGTCTTTTTTACAACGTAAATATGGATTTACTAAATCCATTGTGAGGCGGATTTAAGAATTTCTTCTGCTGTCGCACAAAGTATCGGATTTAAATAACAACAACAAACCTTTATCCCACTAAGTGGGGTAGGCTACATGAATCATTTTTCTCCATTGCATTCTATTGAGTGTCATATTTTCATTTAATTCTAATAAATTAAGACCGTCTTTGTCTTTTATACAATATGCCCTCTTTTATACAATATGCCCCTGTCTTTCTAGGTCTGCCTCTGTCTTTCTTAATATAAGTCGAATCTAAAAAATCTACTTTGCTATCATCAAATGGTCGACATTTAATGTGACCAAACCAAAGTCTTTCTAGTTCTGCCTTTGTCTTTCTTAATATAAGTCGAATCTAAAAAAATCTACTTTGCTAATGGGATCATCAAATGATCGACGTTTAATGTGACCAAACCATCTAAGATGACTGTCTCTAATTTTGTCCGCCACTAGAGCTACACCAACACTATCACGGATATATTCATTTCGCATTTTGTCTCTAAGTGTAAAGTCCCTCATCCACCTAATCATTCTTATCTCGACAACACTTAACTTAGTATTATGCTTCTCTTTTAAAGGTCAACATTTAGTGTCATACTTCACCACCATCTTATAAATTTTCCTTTCAGTGTAAGGGGTACATTTCTATCACACAATAGACCCGAAGCATTCCTCCACTTCAGCCAACCAACTTGAATTCTACTAATAACATCCGCATCTATATCACCATCACTTTGAGCAAATAGGACTGAGATATCCAAAGCGTTCACACATTTTAATAATTTGATCACTCATGATTACAATTTTATCACTAGAGCTACTACTACTAAAATTACATTCCATGCATTCAGTTTTAGTTCTACTCAAACGAAGGCCTTTAAGCACTAATGTAGACCTCCATAATTCAAGTTTTTCTTGGGCTTTCTCACTTGTCTTAGCCACGAGAAGTATATCATCAGCAAAAAGCATACACCAAGGTACATCTGCTTGTAAATGTCCAGTAAAAGCATCCATAACTGAAGCAAAAAGATATGAGCTTAATGATGATCCCTGATGTAATCCAACAAAAATGGGAATATATTTGGTCAGTCCTTCTTTTGTTCGAACACAAGTAACATCTCTAGTATACTTATCTTTAATGACTTGAATGCAAGTCATATCCATATCTTTCTTCACAAGAACTCTCCAAATGATATCTCTTGGAACTTTATCATAAGCTTTTTCTAAATCAATAAAAATCATATTCTTTATTATCTTTGAATTTCTCCATCAAACCTCTCAATAAATGTATAGCTTCCATAGTAAACCTGCCCGGCATAAATCCAAATTGATTATGAGAAATCTTTGTAATGCGTCTTATGTTCAATTACCCTTTCCCGTAATTTTAAAGTATTGACATATCAACTTAATTCCTCTATAATTTGTACACTCTTGTGCATCCCCTTAATTCTTAAAAATGGGGACCAAAATACATTTCCTCCACTCCTCAGGCATCTTTTTAGTTTTTAAAGTAATATTAAAGAGTTTAGTAAGTCAAGAAACTCCCAAATCTCTTATACATTTCCACACTTAAATTGGGATATCATTAGTCTCTACAGACTTTCCACCCCTGGTCCTACATAGTATCGGATTTAAAGGATTTGATAAATCTTATTTAACGTAATTTCGGGTTGCAGCCAAACACCATAACATGCTGCAAACAATATCACTTAAAAGGCATATAGAGAGTTTCAAGACACAAATGTAGACTAGGAACGCCAAAAAGTACATAAAACATGGCGTACCATCAAAGCATTGAGGTCCTGGAAAGCATCCTGCAAGCTCTTGTCCGTGCTCTCCCACATTTCCTGCTCCTTCCTCAAAATACCCGCAACACCAACCACCGCCGTTCTCACTACGCTCGTTCCCTCTCCCGAACCGCTGGCCCTAAGCTCCCCCACAGCCTCACTTCCTTTCGCTTCCTCCACCTCCCACGACCTTGACTTCAAAACCTCCCATAACTTCCCGTAAAACGCTTCCGGATCACTCTTACCACCTCGCATCACGATTGTAATCACCACCGACGTCGTTCCCTGGCCACCGATGATCTTTCCATCCTTACAGGCAGAAACCTGGATTCGAATCCTAGGGCTAGCGAACACGCTTTTGATGGATTTTTTTGGAGGAAAGGCATGGATGACTGAATCGAGGGGAATAGAGTGGGCGAAGCGGGACGTGTCGTTGATCCAGAGCAGGCGGTGGGAGGTGAGGATGAGGAGGCCCGAGCGGAGCGGGGAAAGAGAAGGATTCTCGTCGGCCTGGAGGTCGATGGATGAAAGGAAGAGGCGTTCAACCTCGCCAGGGAAGAGTACTGGCCGGCCGGAGGCGGTGAGATCAACCGGCGGGAGCCAAGCACCGGCGGCCATGGCGAAGGAGGTATCAACGTGGTAATAATCGATTTGCTTTGAGCCGACGTTTTGGTGGGAAATTATTCTTTCACCTTATGTTTATGGTAAGGAACCATTTAGAATCCAACTAGTGATAAAAATAAAATAAAATAAAATTAAATTTATTTTTAAAAAATATTTTTCCGGTGTTATTCAAATGTTACTGTGTGTTATCTAAGTGTTATTGATACATTATTATAAGAACAAAAATACTCTCAAGAACACAATAACATCTGAATAACATACAATAATACATGAATAACACGGAATAACACTGAAGGAATATTCTCCTGTGTTATCGGACAAATTTTATTTTATTTTCTGTGCCGCCACCTAACGTGATTTATAGGGCAGTAAACGAGCCGAGCTTGAGGGAGCCCAGGCTTAACTTGTGTTCTGCTTGTTCGAAATTATTCATGTTCGAAATTGGCTAGTGTTTGAAAATGGCTCGTGAACAGTGTGTTCGTGTTCGACTCGATTTAAATATTTGTGTTCGTGTTTGGCTCGAAATTGACTCGTTAAAATTAAACTGAAAAAATAGATGTAGAGTGTTGGATTCAAACTTGAATCAAATGCACGCAAAATAAGACGCATAACCACATTACCACGAGAGCAGTTATAATTTAAATTTAGATATAAATATATATAATAAAAATTTACTTTTAGAAAATATTTCTCCCGTGTTATTCAAATGTTATTGTGTATTATTTAAATGTTATTGATACATTATTATAAAAACAAAAATACTCTTAAGAACACAATAACATTTGAATAACATACAATAATACATGAATAACACGGAATAACAAGGAAGGAATATTCTCCTGTGTTATCGAACAAATTTTATTTTATTTTCTGTGACCGCTACGTGACGTGATTTATAGGGCAGTAAACGAGCCGAGCTTTAGGGAGCTCAGACTTAACTTGTGTTCTGCTTATTCGAAATTATTCATGTTCAAAATTGGCTCGTGTTTGAAAATAGCTCGTGAACAGTGTGTTCGTGTTCGACTCGATTTAAATATTTGTGTTCGTGTTTGGCTCGAAATTGACTCGTTAAAATTATACTGAAAAAATAGATGTAGAGTGTTGGATTCAAACTTGAATCAAATGCACGCAAAACAAGACGCATAACCACATTACCACGAGAGCAGTTACAGTTTAAATTTAGATATAAATATATATAATATAGTATTATATAAACAATATGTGTAATATATTTTTATATAAATAATTATATATATTTTTTTATTTCGTGCTAAAACGAGCCGAACAAGAGCGAACAAAGGGTTGTTTGTGTTCGGCTCGTTTATAATTCGAGCTTTAAAAACTTGTTCGTGTTCAGCTAGTTTACTTAACGAACGAGTCGAACACAAGCTGTTCACGAACCTAGTTTATTTAACAAACGAGTCGAACACAAGCTGTTCACGAACAACGAGCTTTTTTGACAGTCCTGGTGATTTCATTGGACTTCGAATTGTTCTCTACATTAGAAGCTCTGACATAATAATTTTCTCGTTTCTGTAAAAGGGTTTGAACTGTCGAAAGCTGTTTGGGGATATTATTATTATTATTATTATTATTATTATTATTTGTTTTGATAATTACATGCACATCAATTGAAATAATGATATTCATAAAATTAAAATGAGTAATCTTTTATCATTTATGAATGTCACAATCAATATATTAAAAATTTAATAAAAATGGAAATTTTGAGTTAAATTTTTATCATGTATTTTGATAATTGAGTGAGAATTTAAAAAATGAATGGAAAGGAGTATTAAATTTATCAATAACAATATTGGAGTGCTACATATTTAATTTATTTTTTGTTCATTTTTTTTTAAACTGTATTATCAAATTTTGTAATTTCCTTTTTTAAACCAGTTAAATTCATGAAAGTGATAGGCAATAATGTCTGAGTTAATTTAATGTGCCCTAGTGCATGTACATTAATTAAAAATTAAAAAATACTAAAATATGAGAGAATTTTAATTCTATAAATTTTAATAGTGTTGTGTCATAAATAAATTTTATAATTTGACATGAATCTCGATATATTTTTAAATATGAAATATTTCATATTCTAATTAAAGATTATGCAAGGCCCAGATTTCAACAACATTATAGTTAAACTAAAGGTCTTGACAAGACGGACCTGATGATGCAAAAATTATTTCAATCTCAGTTCAAGTCTAAATTAAGTCATTAAAGTGTATTTGGAGGCTTCAGATCATTAATTAAATTATCAAATTGAACTCCAAATTTAACATGATTATAGGCAAATTGAGCATCTCGATAAGAGGAATTCAACGAGCATTAATTTGCTTAATTGTGAGATCATTAAAGCCTTCAAATCATTAAAAAGCCTTAATAATTAAGGGGGGTCAATATTGATCATCCAATTAGATGTTTAGAGGAGGTATTCGCCAAATGACCAAAATATCTCTCCCTTATAGGTTATAAATAAACATCCTCTCCTGACTTGGAGAGGGGAGGGGAATGGGTTGAATTTTAGTGATGTTCTTGGGTGAAGGCCTAACGATATCTTCTGGCTTCCGTAGCAACCACCACCGTCGTTCACCCACCATCAACACTGTCAGCCCCCCTCCTGCTTGTTGTTGTTGGTAAACTCTACTTGCTAACGACGTATGTTAAATACGATGTAATGAATAATGTCATTTTGATGCCCAGGTGATAAATTTTGATATATATATATATATATATATATATATATATGTGACAACCCCTGTGACGACCACCATCAACCACTAGTCTTCATTGACTATCGTTTGTCTTCCTTGCTTATCATTATTGATAAACTCTACTTGCTAATATTGTATCTCAAATACAGTGTAATGAATAATGTCACATTGAAGATCCGACAACAACTACTTATGACCATCATTTTCAAAATATGATGATTTTTTTGGACATTTGAAGTTTTCTTTATATTGTATACGGGTAACCGTTATATTTGGTGTGAAATTGTAACCCTGCTCTCCCGATTGTGGAAAAATAGTGTATCTTTGTACTTACATACTTATACTGGATACTTCGTCAAGGCTAGACCTCAAGCTTTTTTCTTTTTTTAATATTTTCTCACATAAAAATTTTGGTTCCCCCTCTTACTACTTTCAAATTATTTGTGTGTTAGATATTCATACAACGCTAAGACATTAAATTATCACTCTACCATCACGAATCTTATGACATGCAACAATTTGGCATTGTTTATGGGAAATGAAGTCACGTTGATAGAAGTATGCACTTCATTGATGGCTAATAAGTGCAATACACACGATTTTTGCTCTAATATCCATCATTCTAGGGTGCAATCTCGAAGTCTGGAACATCAAGCATCTACTCTATTTCCTAATTATTCACATCATTTTGCTAATGAAGAAACCTTCTTAGGACTACTTGAAAATTGTGTATGAAGAATGTAGGAATCTTAGAATGAGATTATCTAAATTTTATGTGAGGCTCAACAAACAACTGTTGTGCATGCTAGAGCACATTGCTACCTCAAAATTCATTGACCAGAGGTGCACAATTGACACTCCCTCCATGCATTGAAGTTCCCCTTCATGAAGTTGAACTACTGGACACTGCTAGCTCTATACATCCACCTCCCATCATAAAGCCTCTAATACGTGTGGATAATGTAGTTTGACCTCATGTAATTTATGACAAATCATGACTTCTAGTATGCGAAGAGTTCCCTATGATGGATGGAAGATATTTATCACTTGACATGGTTCTCAAGAGTCTTCTCTATTAGCCAAGACTTTCATTCAACACTATATTCCAACCGGGTTTAAGCTTTCAAGTGTTGATTCTTATCAAGGATGTCTCACCAATGTGAACACGTTGATCACTTCAGAACTATCATACATATACAAAGAGTCTCTGATGCACTCCCTTGTCAATTTTTTCCTATGAATTTAAAGGCCAAGCATATAGTTGATTTTATTCTTTCTTAATGGAAAACATTCATATTTTTTATGAGCTTCTAAAGTGTTTATGGAGCAATTCATCTTAAATTGAAGGATTATCAAAGATCCCTTTCACCTATTCGGGATTTACCAAAGTGAGGGTTGCCGCTAAAGGACTATTTCCGATTCTCCATTGAAACTTGTTAAATCCCAAAAGTAGATATAGAGTTACTAAGATGTATGTCCTTGGGGGGACTATATCCTGTGCTTTCTACTCTTCTTTGATGCAGGAGATTCATTATTTTGAGAAATGAATTGCTACTGGTGAAACTATTACTACAAATAAAAATTAAATTGAGAGGCAATAAAAAAATTATAAGAAGGACCTCATAGATACTATTCAAGTTTCACAATGAAAAAAGGCCTCATAGATACTATTCAAGTTTCACAATGAAAAAAGTATGAGCCATAGAAATTTTTGTTTTTCCCCCCCAACCTTAGATATGTGAATCTCAGTCAAAGAATGAGTATGTGTTGTTTAACACATCACGTGTCAACATCCTGATGGCGATTTATGATAAGAAAATTCTCAAGTGGTCGCCTGTGTTGAGATCAAATATGGGGAAGTCATAGTCATAATACTACACTCTATTTTAAACTCTAATAGGATATTGAAAGGTCAATCAAACAAGGATATTTAGACTAATTCATTCAAAGCAATATCCCTTGCACCAATAATGCCCCTATTGAGGGGTAGAAAGCCTAAAAGCAACAGTAGGAGAATTGTCTAACTATTGGCATAATTACAAAGATCATTGGAGGACCATTGATATTCAAGCAAGTTATTGTCACTAAGGAAATCTCGTGTCAACTACTCCATATTTTTTATGAACTTTATCTTGCGAGGGTCCAAACCCCTCATCAAGGTCCTCTTATAATAACTGTCGTAATTGGGGACCCTTAATATAACATAAAGAGAATTTTTATTGATGGAGAGACCTATATTGATGTTTTATTTTGTTCAACTTTCCATGGTTTGGGGTTAACTAGGGAAAAACTGTCACAAGCTCCTGAGCCTCTATATGACTTTAATAATCAATCAA